CGAGGGAGTTATGAGTTTCAAGTTTTTGGTCAGTTTATGTGAAAATGGAGGTATGTGATGTGATTCTGAGCTCTAGGTGTTTTCAGGGCTTAAGCCTTCGTGTCTTTTGTGACAAATGGTTTGTATATCTATAAGCAAAAGGATTGGAGTGGTTTGGACAATCAGAAGTATAAGTTTTCAGCTAATTTCTAGGTTACTTGATTTTGAAGAAAAGAGGGAAACCAAATTTCAATGTGAGGTACAAGCATGGGTTGAGTGATTGTAAGTGTCTAACAAGTTTCTTATGAGTCATAGGACTTGTATGATCAGAAGAGAACAAGTGCAAGGCTCAAGAACAAGTTTTATGGAAAAAAAATCACTTTATCAAAATGGCAATGTACACTTTCTTCCAAAAATGGATATAAAGCATGGCCTTGCATTGAATGCTTGAAATGAGACCTCTAACAGATGTGCAAGCCATTAATTATGGATTTCCTAACAAGTTCGAGGCCTGCAAATTAGAGGTTATGCATCATACTTTAAATTTTGAATTTGGTTCATCATAAAATGACTTGTAAATCAAATGATAAAGCCCTAACTTCATCTCTTCGATTCTCCCTACTCAAAAATGATCTCAAGGAGTTCTTAGACATTTTGGAAAGCTTTAAATGTTCTATACAATCCATATTTGAATTTCTTTTGAATATTCCCCTTGGAACTATATGAAAAAGTGCCATGAAGTTGGGTCAAAATCCTGACCAAATTAGGGCAAAAATTTCACTAAGTGTTTTGTTTCATGACCACATGTTCTTAAAATTATAACTTGAGATCCAAGAAGTTTTGGAAGGAGTTGTATAAATCAAATTTGTATATTTCATGGAGATATACAACTTTCATGTTGGAAGTTTCTCTTGAATCATTTTGCATCATGGTGAAAATTTTGCTCAAAGTTATGAAAAAATAAGAAATTAGAAATTTTAACTTTTCAAAATGAAATCTTGAATTTTTGATTTATTGATGAATGAGTTTCATATTTTGACATGCTTTGATGAATTATGATCATTGACATTGAATTTCCACCAAAAAGTCAAAGTTTGACTTTTCAGTGTACTGTTGACTTTTGATCAGTTGACTGAAAATTCATCTGTCAATCTATTGGACTTGAGAAATGTTTTGAGCCATGTCATTAGGTCAAAATGATTCAATTGGACTCTTGAGATCATGACTTAAACCTAATTGATCATTTGCTAGGTCAAAAAATCAGAAATTGCCCTTTCCCAGTCAAAACCTTAATTTTGACCATTTTGCCCTTTTGGAGATTTGATCAAATTTCTTGAGAAGTTGTGGTCCAAACTTGATCAAATGATACATATGAGTTTAAATTATTGACGTGGATAAAAAATTATGAAGTTTGACTATAAATTGGCCACAGTTTACTTTTCCCCAATACAATTGATTTTTAGGTCAACTGCTCAATTGATTGAGCTAAAGTGTGATCCAAGGCTTGAAACTTGACATGAGTGATCTTGGGGGTACATAATGATCCATGAAAGTCATATGAATCATTGAAAGTTCAAATATCCTTGTGAAATCTCAAACCCTAATTTTAGTCATCAGTGCTTAAGGAGGTGTCTTGAGCTGATCAACCCTAGTGCAGTCTTGAGCCAAAGGAGATTTTGTGAGAAAATTCTTGATAAGTGAGAGGGAAAATGTTGGGGTACAACACACTGCATAACATTGCATCCTCAAAAGCGCGTAGTCTATCCATCATAATGGATCTTTGCGGCAAAAGAAATTCAAACATGCATATGAAGCGAAAGCAAGACCAGGCACCTTACATGAAAGACCTGAATCATTCCAAGATGGTAATACATCCCCACAAGAGGGTATCGCTACCAAAAATCCCCAGTCGGTGACCTTCACCCCTGAATTCCCAGCAAAATTAATACACCTTGGCAATTCTAAACCCAGTTCTCATTTGGCAGCCGGTTCCTGTCTGACAAATAATTCAGTCTCCTAACACTCGTTTATGTCGGTTTCCTAAACACTCGTATGTGTCAGTCTCTGTAAAAGACTCGTTTGTGCCATTATTCCAAATGCTCATATGTTTCTATCTGTCCTCCAAATCCCAACAAATACAATGCACTTGGTCATTCTCGCATCTACAATCATCGCGTCGTAACCAATACTCCCACCTTCTTATAATTGTAGGTCGCCCGTAGGCATAGATTTTGGTAGATCGCCCGTAGGTATTACCTTAGGATCTTAGATAGACCGTGGATCTAGATTTCCTTGTAGGTTTCTCGTAGGCCTAGTAATTTTGGAAGATCGTCCGTAGGTCTCGCTTTAGAACCTGAGATTGCCTGTAGGCTAGGTTCTTCCAATAGATCATCTTAGAACCTAAGATTTCCCATTGGCTAGGTTCTTCCTTAGATCATCTTAGAACCTGAGATCGCCCGTTGGCTAGGTTCTTCCTTAGATTATCTTAGAACTTGAGATCACTCATAGGCTAGGTTCTTCCTCAGACCATCTTAGAACCTGAGATCGCTCGTTGGTTGGGTTCTTCCTTAGATCATCTTAGAACCTGAGATCGCCCGTAGGCTAGGTTCTTCCTTAGATCATCTTAGAAACCGAGATCGCCCGTTGGCTAGGTTCTTCCTTAGATCATCTTAGAACCTGAGATCCCCCATAGGCTAGGTTCTTCCTCAGATCATCTTAGAACCTGAGATCGCTTGTTGGCTAGGTTCTTCCTTAGATCATCTTAGAACCTGAGATCGCCCAAATGTTAGGTTCTTCCTCAGATCATCTTAGAACCTGAGATCACCCGTTGGCTAGGTTCTTCCTTAGATCATCTTAGAACCTGAGATCGCCCATTGGATAGGTTCTTTCTTAGACCATCTTATAACTTGAGATCGCCTGTAGGATAGGTTCTTCCTCAGATCATCTTAGAACCTGAGGTCTCCCGTTGGCTAGGTTCTTCCTTAGATCATCTTAGAACCTGAGATCTCCTGTTGGCTAGGTTCCTCAGATAATCTTAGAACCCAAGATCGCACATTGGCTAGGTTCTTCCTTAGATCATCTTAGAACATAAGATCGCCCATAGGCTAGGTTCTTCCCCAGATAATCTTAGAACCTGAGATCGCCCGTAGGCTAGGTTCTTCCTCAGATCATCTTATAATCTGAGATCGCCCGTTGGATAGGTTCTTCCTTATATCATCTTAGAACCTGAGATCGCTTGTAAGCTAGGTTCTTCCTCGAATCATCTTAGAACCTGAGATCGCCCGTTGGCTAGGTTCTTCCTTAGATCATATTAGAACCTGAGATCTCCTGTTGGCTAGGTTCTCCCGATATATCATCTTAGAACCTGTGATCGCCCGTTGGCTAGGTTCTTCCTCAGACCATCTTAGAACCTGAGATCGCCCGTTGGCTAGGTTCTTCCCATAAATATTGTCTTAGAACCTGAGATCGCCAATAGGCTAGGTTCTCCGACAAATCACTTTCATGTTTCACCTTAGAATCGTAGGTCGCCCATAGACCTTATCCTTCATCCTTTCGTACCAATATTTATCTTGTATTGGCATCACGCCACGTTACAAGTCCAATCTTCATCTCCTCACTGGAAAACGATAAATTCTCCCCTAGCGGATATCACAAAAAATAAATAAACATTCACACTTTCTCTTAGAGAAAATTTTTGGCATTGATATTTAATCATCTTCTACCTCAAAAGTTCGAAAGGCATGAACCAATCGTATTTTCAGGTTTAAGATGATTAAATAGGGGCAGTTGTAATACCTTGAATTTTTCCTACCCTTTTACTTTTATTTGGCTTATGCATCTCGCGCTTTTCTCATGTATATAATTTCCATTAGGTCATCTAACACATCATGCATCATTAATTAATAAACTTGGTATGGGAATAAGGATCTTGAAGTTAGGGCTTTCTCTATGGCTTTGATGGTTCTCATCTTCACTCAGGCTTGAATCAATTGGTTTCCCAGTAACTGGTTTATGGAGCTAGGGTTTTTCTTTTCATATTCATTGATGACTTCTTCTTTCATCAAACTTCTTCATCAAGATGCCTCAAAAGCAAGTGGATTAGGTTTATGATAATGACGTGGTTTCTTATAATGCTTCAAAGGAGGATATGGTGAGCTAGGGTTCTGCTTCAATAAGTACTCTCATTAATCAGGGATATATATTCACTTCTTTATGTCAAGTGGTTATCATAAGGATATTAAGGGTTTGGTTTCATGGCTTTCATGCAACTCATTTCTCACATCTAGGGTTTCTTTTGTTTATCATCATCGAAATTTTGGTTCACTTGGTTATTTTCATTGCAAGACAATATTGTGGATCTTATGAAAGGATTGAAATTCATTTGTTGTCTTATGAATTATTTCAGATTTGAAGGCATCGGATAATTTTAAAGTCCATTTTGAACTCTTAGGCTTTTCATATATGATTTGTTCCAAAGGTGCAAGAATGAATATGTCCTCATTTGGTTAGAAAGTCAACTCTTGAAGGATGACTTTTATGGGCCAAGTCATGTGGATTTTTGTACGAGTACTTTTCCATTACCTCAATTTCGGGAATTCATTCAAATTTGTATTTCGCATTTGGAAGTATTTAAGTATGAAGAACATTAAAGTGCAAAAGGAAAGAAAAATACTTTCAAATTTACTTTAAAGATAAAATGGAATTACTATGTACATTTCATGATCAATGCCATTACACATTTCCATATCCTTTACACAAGTTACATAGAAACTACCAAAAGTTACAAATCATACATCAAAAACTACCCATAAATACTATCCTAAGACTATGACTATTCATCTTCAATCTTCATGTTGTTTTATCTTCAACCCTTGCTTACTTCTCAAGCTTCTAGCGATGCATATGCCTCGGACATCCTACTCTTTATTCGTTCGCTAATACCTCAAAATCTAACCCCGGTTTTTATTCAAATGAATGGGCAGCTCTGCATTTTGTTCAAGAAACCAGTTCACCAAATCAGTTCACAAAAACTTGTTACGAAAAATCTGCATATAATCATTCATCCAAAAGAAAAGAGAAACCATGACCCTGCATTGTTAAAAACAGATCCAAATTAAATTCCAAATTCCAAAATAAAAAATACTAACCATAACAAAAATCCAGAACTTCATAACAGTTAACCAAACTCCACTTTCTAACAGAATAATAATAGATGTCGGTCTCTAACTTTATCCTAACCACTTTAGCCTCTAACCAATTACATAGTTAATAGTGGCATAACAGAAAACAGAAACAGAATTCTAACCGAATTCTAGCTTCCTCCGACTAACTGTCAACTCTAGCTAATATCCTAACTCTTCCATCCCTAACTGTCCTATAACAGTTTCATAGTGATCTCTTAACAGAAACTAATAGCCCTGTCCATAACTCCTCTAACTGAATAACAGATCCATAAATAATAACAGAATTTCTACACAACGAGCCCAACCATCCTAACGAATACCGTAACTAACTTCCTAACATCTCAACATATTTATAACAGATCATAACAGAAAGGGAGGGGAAAAAACCTTTGAGGATTCATCATTCATTCATACAAAAATCGGTTATAGGAGAGCTTACCAGAAAAAATTATCAGAGAAGTCTCTTTTGGCTCTCTTCTTGATCAATCTTCCCTCTCTCTCTCTCTCTCTCGTTCTTTAATCACCTACTATAACCTTAAAATATTCACTCTCAATCACCACTTCATCTTCTTACCCCTGCATCTTGAGACCTTCATCTCCTTGATCCGTTATCACCAAAAACTTCCACTCTTCTCCCTGTGCAATCCATTGTTGCATTCCATCATTTGTCGATGATCTCCATTCTTATTTTCATCTAAACCTATTTACCCACTATCAAAAAAACCTTCATCTTCCTCACTCTCGAACTGCAACATAAACCACCTTCAGTCCCTTTCTCTCCTCCACCTTCTACCTCCACTTTTCGACTCCAAGTTTCAACCTCTCTCTCCATTCATAACCACTGTCGAATTCGCCTCTGAGCTCTCAACAACAACAATTTGCACAAAAGAATCAAAAGGAAGAATTGAAAAGAAAAAAAAAAGAAGATCGAGAGCAAAAGATGAAAAAGTAAAAGCAGTGCAAGCTTACTATTTACCTTTGGCAGGATCAAAGTTCTACTAGTCTAAGCGTGTTATCCATTTAATCTTGAAGGATCACCGGAATTACTCCGATAGGTAAGCATCCATCTTCCTCTTTCGCATTTGATTCTCGTTGTCATGGTATAGATTTCACCTTTGTGAATCCATGATTCAATCGACTATCTTCGTGATTGAATTACATTTAGAATCAGAGATGGAGGTTAGGTCGAACGAAGAAAGTTTGGGGTCGTGATGTCAAGGCTAGAGCGAATGCCAGCGACGAACCGTCGACCACGGAGAGCATCATTCTGAAGAGTATCGCGCCGTTTACATGAAGTAATAGAAGATAAGAAAGTTCGTATTAAGTGAGTTGGAGGGTCACAACTTGAACCCTAATTACATTTCTCCTAAACGCATTGTTTCCCCATGTACTACCCTTTGGCTTTATTATATTTTCTATTTTCAAAAAGTAGCAAAAGATTGAAATTGGTGATGGTGTTGGACTAAGGAGTACGCTGGGCCTCCTCTCTTCACCTTCATGGCCCGATGCTTTTTTTTAGAGACATAATGATATTTCTCACAACAAAAATAACTCTTTGGACTCAATTTGATACGCCCTAGCGCATATCTACTGCAACACACCACTGATCCAGCTTGGCACCCCCCTGAGTTCCTTTATGATTTTTCTTTTGATCTCACTAATTGTTTCTATTTGTTTTATTTTTCTCCACACAGTAAAAAATTTAAAAACAAAAAAATAATATAAGAACATTAATAAAAAAATAGTAGAATATAATAGATTTTTAGGAATTCATTCTTTAAGTTTTTTTTAGAATTTTTCTTAAATAAAAAACTAATAAATAAAAAATACTTTTTATCCATATCCTCATGATGCTTCGCCTTGTTAGTTTGACGCATTTATTCGTTGTGCAAGGTACATTTTTATGCTTTCGATCATTTAACATAATAGGTAGTTATGATATCGAAGCATACGGCTTATGCCCGCCTCCGATGCGACATGCCTTATTTCTCATCGTCCTGAGAAATTCATATCGTATCATATATTGTCCTGATACATGTGATTTTTTATGATGCTTTGTGCAGGAACTTCTGATTACGCATTGCATTCGCAACATGTGTTGGCTTTTATCTTAATTGGATATTGTTTCTAACTTTGTTTGTTTCTTGGTGAAGCTTGCTCGACACGTACTCCCTGCTTCTCCATTTCTTTCGTCCACTCTTGACGATTTGTCTCTTTTGGTATTTGTCGCTACTACCTTCGTACTTCTTCGCACTTTACTACATCTCTTTACCGCTTTTCTAGATATCATGAGAAGTAGGGCTTTACTGCTTTCTGATGCCATGAGAAGTAGGGTAGAGATGTATGACGGGGGTATACGTTGCTGATCATGTCAGGAACCCCTCTGGTTTATTTAAAGACCTGTTTAGGGCAATTCCACATTGTGTGCATTCTGTTTACTACTTGTGTGTGGTTTGTTTAAAACCCTACCTTTGTGTAGTTATTATGCATGTGTGTTTATATTTATGCCCGCATTATTCCCCCATCCCTTATTAATGTCTTTAAAAGGAGGCGAGCGGGGAGGGTTAGTAATCGACCCCCACAATTTTGTCTGTGTCATCTTTTGCTCGTGACGCACCATGATGCTTCGGAGTTGTGCTTGCTCATGTGTATCGAGTCGTCAAGCGGGGAAAGGTTCCGCAATTGAACCCCCATGCTTTGTCTGAAGCTCGCATTGGCCGATGCTGATACTCTGATCATTCATATTGTTTGTTGTTGTCTACCTAGATCTCCTATATCTTGGTTAGGTGTTCAATCGATTTGGACATCACATTTTGTTTTACATCTCACTCCCGCTTGTTTGTCTCAGGTCATACGCTCCCCTTGGTTAAAGCATTTCGCTTCTTTTATTTATTATTTTATGTGTGCGCTCTTACGAGCTTTCTTGTTTTATCCTTGTACATACCATGTTCCCTTAGGACGTGCTTGCTCCTTTCGAATGCAAGTTAGACCTTAGGTTGAAAGCCATTCATGCTAACATTAGGTAGACATTTCCCTTTTATTAATCCAAACCTTAGGACTACCATTGTATGATAACATTAGGTTAGAAATAGGCCAGTCTCCCTTAGACTCTTTTCTTCCCCTTTTGCATCCTTGCATCTAAAACTAAAACCTTTTCTTTAGTAAATCTTAAAACATTCTAATCACACTTAAACCCTTTTTCAAGGTAACAAAACACAAACCAATCAAATGTGGCATCTTTCCTCGAGGGCGTAACTCAAAACCATTTTCAGTAAGGACATGATTAATTTACTTTTGTGCCAACGCGTGAGTCTCCAAAGGTCGAGCTGTGGCAGAAGGCGGAATTAACATTGTCCATAAAAAACAGAAAATAAACAAAACCATGTGAACCGAACTACGGTAGCTTTGATTCCTCAAAAAGGATACGTAGGCATTGGGGTGGGGCTCAAGCGAGTACAACTTTATTTTCCTTACATTCTTTTCTCCTTTCCTTTGCATGCATTATTCCTCATTATTAAACAATAAGCATAGATTAAACACACCCGTAAGATAGATAACTAGAGTGGATACCATAGAGTACTACGGGCGTGTGTGGTGCTAATACCTTCCCATCGCGTAATAGACTCCCTTACCCGATATCTCGGTCGCAAGACCGTGACTTATCCCTTCTCAGGTTTTCTCGATGTTTACCTTTCCCTTCATGTGGGGTAAAAGGCATTTAATGGCGAATTCATTATTTGATGATTTTCAGCCAGTTGTTTCAGTTTCCCTCGGTAAACTATCTTAGTCCCTTATGACAAATTGCTAAGGTATCCTACAATGTTGCCTTCTATGATTGTACGAAGACCCACGCTTGTCCCTTCACATCCAATCATAAGGTTGCTTACTAACTAAAGGCAAGATAACACTATCTAAAGAAGGAAGAGAAGAACAAAGATTTTCTTTTGAGTAGGTAGAATGCTCGTAGTTGGTTGCTCACAAACATTTCAAACAAAACATCTTTCAAACACACCAACATTTTTCATGAAATATTTTCAAAATTCAACACTTTGTATACATTCTTATAGAGACGATAATCGTTACAAAGTTCGCCTAAATGAAGGCACTTTTTAAAAAATACATTCAAAACAAACACAAACACATTTTACAAAGCATTTTCAAAGTGAGCTAGAAACTAAGATCCCATAGATAACTATGGATGAAAAGGGTTCTAACACCTTCCCTTTTCATAACCTACCCCCCCCCCCCCCCCCCCGAACTCAAGAAAATTCTCAAAAGGTATTTCCTGTTATTTTCACCATTTCCTTTATTGGATAAAAGAAAAGTCAGTGGCGACTGTTGCTATCCGTAACAATTGCGACAAAACAAAAAACACCCAAGTCAGTTCTCCCACCGTATTACATATTGGATATTTGAAAAAGAGTCGTTATAAATAGTACAGTTACGTCCTTATCTCTTCAACACTTCAAGTTAGTGGAGAGGTTGTGGTATAAAGCTTTTCCATACTGTCTACTATTGTACCATGTTACCGTTATATTCTTTCCTTCTGCACTTCAAAGGCTTCTGCAAGCATGAGGTTAGAATCGGGAACATAACATAAGGTCTTCAGAACTTCAAGTCTTCATAACAACGTCTTCAGCACTTGGTCGTGAGAACCTGTTGTAGTAAACCTTGGATCAGAAGAGCTTCAAGTCTTCAGAGTCTTAAGAGTTATGTCTTTAGAGTCTTCAACACTTGGTCTTGAGAAACCATTATAGATATCCTTGGACATTTAGAACTTCAAGTCTTTGGAATCTTCAGACCTTCTGTCTTTAGAATCTTTAGCACTTGGTTCTTTAAGAATCCTTGTCTTTAGAACCTTCTTATTAGAAACAAAAGTCTTCAGCAACTGGACTTCAGTTAGAAACGTTGTTTTTGGATCTTTTAACTTTGTCTTGTTTGAAACAAGTTATCTTTTAGAAACTAAGTTTTTAGCATCTGGACTTCAGTAGAAACTTTGTCTTCAGATCTTCTAACTTTGTTTCTTTGGAACACACTATCTTTTAGAAATGTGAGTCTTTAGCATCTGGACATAAGTAGCAGCTTCTGTCTTCAGATCTTCTGACTGATTTCTTTAGACAAATATCAGGGCTTACACTTCAGAGCCTTCTAGAGTGTCTTTCTACTGTTCAACATAACTTGTGTAGCGCAGAAGCGAAACTAATTCTCTTCTAATGTCTTTTCCACGCCATCCATCAGAAGCAGAACCTGTTTGTTAAGTACTCAACAATAACAAACATTAGTACAACAAAATTGTTCACACAATAATACTCATTTTTTATCATCAAAACTCAGAGATAATATTGCAAAACCAAATATTGTTCTTACAAATCTTCCATATGGTATGAGGAAAGTCATTTCCTCCCGAGAAATTCTTAACATTTTCTTCAAGAAGTTGAAAATGGTAAGAGAAAGATTAACTTTAACGTTGTAGGTGAGGAAGTACAAGAGATGCTTTTCATACCAAGTAAGCATTTCCAGTTGTTTCTCTCTTGGGCGAAGAATTTCCACTAGAAGTTGAAACAAAAATTTTGCAATAGGGAGTAGAGACCCATGACTGGTGGGCTTATCATGGTTGGCATAAATTTGATGAAGTTGGGTTGAGTAGACATTATTGAATTCATAGTGTTCAATATAACTACTTTTCTCTTGACATTTGATTGTCATAGCAATCAGTGATGGGGTAATAAAGAAATGAGACCCATTGACATAAGTTTTGATGACTTCATTATCACCAGCTAGCACAATAGAGGCGTTCATCTAGAACTCTTTAATGATATTAGTGTATATGAG